GGAAGCCGGAGAATTTAGATCACACAGATCAGCGAGGTGTACAGCGAGATCCCCCTCTCGAAGAAAGACCGCTCCCCATCCCTGTAACGATTCCGCAAGCTTGCACTTGTGGTTTTCAACTTCGGGGGAATATCAAGCGAGAGCAACATAATGAAAACGAGCCACTCTGGATACGTGCCGTGCTACAAGCGTTGAAGTGCCAGCTGGGTCTTTGAAATCATCGAAATCACAAGCGATAGCCCCAGTTGTAAATTAGCCTGGCGAAAGACCCAACCATACGCAGTTGAGAGCGCCGCAATTGTGAATCTCGTCTTCGGTGGAGCTCCCTATGAGGCCAAGAACCGCGTGAGGGGTGTGCCGATGTATGGCGGGGAACGCAACGCGGAAGAAGACGATTGATCTGATAACGAGAGCCTGAGAGCGGGTGAGTCTGAGCACGAGTGGCTCTGATTGTGCATGAATCTGCGTGCGGGGGAGTCTACGTGGATGAATGTCGACGCCCATATCGGCACCCCCCCTCGCGTGGATCGCCCCCGCTTCCTCCCGCTTTTTTTCTCCCTCTTTGCCCGCGCACTCCAGTGCCCAAGGCTGCGGACGCAGCGCAGCACGGAGTCCCCGCGACGCGCGCTGGTCGCCCCGAAGGGGTCCCAGCAACGCACGCGGGTCGTTCGCTGCGCGGAGCAAAGTGAGCTAACTGGCTGGCTGGGAGCGGGCAAGGCTCTAGGCGCCGGGCAGAGCGACGACGGGCGAACGAGGCGCTGGGCAGTGCGCGGCACGGAGTCCCCGCGAAGCACGCTGGTCGCCCCGAAGAGGTCCCAGCGACGCGCACGGGTCGTCCGCGGCGCCCGGCCGAACTGTGGGACAGCCTGGATATGGCGCGGCTCGTGCGGGCCGCTCCCCAGGTCATGCCTCGCGGATAAACTCGGTGAAGCCCAGCTACCTGGCGAGGGTCGTGGCCTCCCTCCTGCACCGCTTCGTGCGCGCAGCAAACTGCTCCAAGTGTTTCCGCAAGCCCGCCGGCGGCCCCGCCAGGAAGAACTCGATGCGTGGCGCCCGCATGAGCAGGAGGCCCTCGTGGCGCGTGGCGCGCGAGAGCAGCACGTAAAGCTCCAGCCGCCTGTCGTCGTCGTCCTTCCTGCCGTTCCCGATCTCGTGGCGGCTGCGGTCCAGGATCACGCCTGGGCGACGTCGGCCGAGGGAGCGGCGCGTGGGGCAGCCAATGGCCCAAGGCGAGAATCCACATAACCAAAACAAGTATGGCTGCGGATCGCTCGTGCCCAAGAGGTTTGGCCGTGGACTGCCCGGGGGGCGCTGTTCCCCCGCCCCGTCGCCTTTTCGCATGGTGCGCCCCTGGCACGCCACCGTGGTGATGACCCTGCAGTGCGAGAACGGGAAGCCCGTCCGGGTGACCTTGAAGGTGCGGAACGTGAACGGTTCCGACGTGCGAGGCTCGATGAACACCAGCGGGCCCGTCAGGTCCCCTGTGAGGGTGTCGTCGTGGCGCTTCTGCTCCACTCTGATATCCGTCCTCCCCTACCCGTCATCCTCCACCTTCCCGTCCTCCTCATCCTCCTCCTCATCGTCGTCGTCAGCAGCGTCAGGGTCGTCATCATCCGCAGCAGCAACATTGCCATCATCATGAGCATCGTCGCCATCTTCTGGACGATGATGATGACCACCGTCATCGTCATCGACATCATCATCATCAGCATCATCATCATCTGCATCATCATCAGCATCACAATCATCATCGTTATCGTCAGCACTGTCAATTTCGTCATCGGCACCATCGTCAGCATCAGCATCATCGTGACCATCGTCATCAACAGCATCATCACCAGCGTCATCATCTGCATTATTACCAGCCGCATCACCATCATGATCATCCGCATCATCATCATCATCATCATCATCATCACCGTCATAAGCATCATCAGCATCATCATCATCCTCATCATCAGATTCAGCATCATCATATTCGTCCGCATCATCATCACCATGATCATCGTCATCATCATCATCAACAACATCGTCATCGTCATCATCGTCTTCGTTCCAGTCGAAGGGAGCTACTTCCTCTTCCTCCCCAACTTCCTCCCGCTCCCTCTCCTCCTCCTCCTCCTCCGACCTCCTCCTCCTCCTCCGTTCCTCCGCAGCCCATTCCGTTCGTCCTCCTCAGAACTCCGACGGCCTCCGACGCAGGTGCCCGCAAGTCTCCGGACGCATCCCCGAAGCCCCCCAAGCCACCAGTGGGCCTGTAATGCCCTCGACAAGTCTCGGGTAATAACGCCAGTAGCTCGGGCACCCGGGCTGGTTGCGGCGATCGCCCCTGGAACGCTGTCGGCGAGGCGCAACTGCTGGGTTACACATCGCAGCCTTCAAAAACGAACGCATGGAACCAACCCCACCTTCGAAACGCCGCCACTGAGGCTTTCGGTGGAGCCCACGAAACGTGTCAGGGAGTGCCGAGCTGGGGGTGACGGCTCCCTATGAGGCCACGAAGCGCTGTCCTGGGCGGGGGAGACGCATGCGGACTGCGCCACTGGGGCCTTCGGTGGAACTCCCTATGGGGCCACGAAGCGCTGTCCTGGGCGGGGGAGACGCATGCGAACTGCGCCAATGGGGCCTTCGGTTGGGCTCCCCATGGGGCCACGAAGCGCTGTCCTGGGCGGGGGAGACGCATGCGAATTGCGCCACTGGGACTTCGGTGGCGTTCCCTATGGGGCCACGGAGCGCTGTCCTGGATGGGGGAGCTGCATGCGAACTGTGCCACTGGGACCTTCGGTGGAGCTCCCTGTGGGGCCACGGAACGCTGTCCTGGGCGGGGGAGGCGCATGCGAACTGCGCCACTGGGACATCGGTGGCGTTCCCTATGGGGCCACGAAGCGCTGTCCTGGATGGGGGAGACGCATGCGAACTGTGCCACTGGGACCTTAGGTGGAGCTTCCTATGGGGCCACGGAACGCTGTCCTGGGCCGGGGAGGCGCATGTGAACTGCGTCACTGGGACCCTCGGTGGGCACGAAACGTGTCAGGGAGTGCCGAAATGGGGGCGGCGGCTCCCTATGAGGCCACGAAGTGCTGTCCTGGGCCGGGGGAGACGCATGCGGACTGCGCCACTGGGACTTCGGTGGGGTTCCTTGTGGGGCCACGAAACGCTGTCATGGGCGGGGGAGACGCATGCGAATTGCGCCAATGGGGCCTTCGGTGGGGCTCCCCATGGGGCCACGAAGCGCTGATCTGGGCGGGGGAGACGCGTGCGAACTGCGCCACTGGGGCCTTCGGTGGAGCTCCCTGTGGGGCCACGAAACGCTGTCCTGGGCGGGGGAGACGCATGCGAACTGCGCCCCTGGGCCTTCGGTGGGGGTCCCTATGGGGCCACGAAACGCTGGCCTTTCCGGGGGAGACGCATGCGAACTGCGCCACTGGGACTTCGGTGGCCTTCCCTATGGGGCCACGAAGCGCTGTCCTGGATGGGGGAGACGCATGCGAACTGGGACCTTAGGTGGAGCTCCCTGTGGGGCCACAGAACGCTGTCCTGGGCGGGGGAGACGCATGCGAATTGCGTCACTGGGACCCTCTGTGGGGCTCCCTATGGTGCCACGAAACATTGTCCTGGGCGGGGGAGACGCATGCGAACTGCGCCACTGGGGCCTTCGGTGGAACTCCTTGTGGGGCCTCGAAACGCTGTACTGGGTGGGTTAGACGCATGCGAACTGCGCCGCGGGGACCTTCGGTGGAGCTCCCTATGGGGCCACGAAACGTGTAAGGGGTGTGCCGAAGCTGATGGCGATGATTGTGACGATGACGGAGATGATGATGACAACGATGGTGACTGCGACGATGACTATGATGACGACGATGATGATGCTGATGGTGATGACGATGATGATGATGCTGTTGATGATGATGATGATGCTGATGATGATGATGATGATGATGATGGAAAGAGGGAGGAGGGGGAGGAGGAAGGAGAGGAGCGCGGGGCACCGTCTCTCCAAAACGAGGACCCAACACCACAGGATGGTTGCGTGACGATGACGAGGAGGAGGGAGGAGGAGAGGAGGAGGAGAGGACGCGGGGCGCTGTCTCTTCAAAACGAGGACCCAACACCACAGGATGGTTGGGAACAAACAATCATCCACCCTTACAGGTGTTGCACTAAGAAAACGTTTGCGCGCGATTTTGAGGCACGAGCACCGTCTGCAAAAAAACATCAAAGCTCAATCAGTGTAAGTGGTGCGAGATGCTGAAACGAATGTACGCGGCGCTGAAGCGAGATCACCACTTTCAAAAGGAACCGCACTCCATCTTTCAAGCGATTGCCACATGATAAGCATGCACGCGGCACTGCGGCGAGAGCCGCATTTTGAAAACAGCACGCTCCCTCCATCCTTGAATCTTCGGCAACCATTTAAGACGAATGTGCGCGGGGCTAACGCGAGAGCCACAGTTTGAAAACCACCGGAGCTCAATCCATGAAGCTGCTGCACAATATTCAGACGAATGCGTGCGGCGCTAAGGCGCGAGTCACATTTTGAAAGCCGCACGGCATCCATCCGGGAGGCCGTGAAGCTGGTGCAATTGTCAAGCTTCAGGAAAATAAATGGTGAGGAAAGTTTAAGCGAAATGCCCGGCCCACCCTACCGATGCGTCTTGAGGTGCGACAGGGAGGAGCTACTTCTAAGGAAGCAGGAACAGGCATGAAGGAGCAGGTGGAGGAGGAGGGAGAGGAGGAGGAGGAGGAGGAGGAGGAGGAGGAGGAGGAGGAGGAGGAGGAGGAGGAGGAGGGGGCAGGAGCAGGAGGATTCTCTCGCTTCCCCGTGCCAGGAGAGGGGGAGGGAGAAGGAGGAGAAGGAAGCGGAGCAGGAGGAGTCCCTCGCTTCCCCGCGCTATCGCCCCCCCCCCCCCCCCCTCCCCGCGCTGTCGCCTCCCCGCGCTGTCGCCCCCCCCCCCTCCCCACCTGTCGCCTTCCCCCTTCCTCCCGCGCGGCGCCCCTGGAGGCTCGAGTGGGGCCCCGCGGCGGCGGCGGAGATCGGCGCGCGGCGGGAGGATCCCGCCCGGGTGGCGGCCCGAGGCCACGCGCCGCCCCTGTGGCGGGCCTGGGCGGCTGCAGCGGGGGCGGATGGCCCGGCATCCCGCCCGGATTCCGCCTCGCGTCGTCCGAGTGTCACTTCGTCCGTTTCGATTCGGGTATAGCCAGGACCCCAGGTAAGGGGACCCGGTTAGTGGTAGGGCCCCGGAGCGCCTAAACTGGCCAGAATTCTTAAACCAGGTCTGCCGTAGCTGCTGTTCTTTCGGGTGACGGCAGTTCTGGTTAGTGGAACGGGGCGGGGGGGGCGTCCCCCAGCACACATCACTAAACCAGGTCCCACTAAACCCAGTTCTGCCAACGCCCGATCGATTCCCGGGGAACGAACAATGACGTATACAACCAAGCTCAGAGGTTTGTTTTCTCCTACCAGATGTGTGGATGTGGGTCCTCGCCTTGAAGAGACAGCCTCCCCCATTCCCCGTCTCACTCATTCCTCATCCCAGCTCCTCCCGTCCCTCCTCCTCCCCCTCGTGTCCTCTGCCCTCCGCATGTCCTCTGCGGCACATCGCTCACACGTTTCGTGTCCTCATCGGAGGCTCCACCGAATGCCCCAGTGGCGAAGTCCGATTGCGTTTCCCCCACCCATTACGGCACACCACTCTCACGGTTCGTGGCCCCACAGCGAGTTCCACCGAAGACCCCAGCGGCGCAGTCCGCATGCGTTTCCCCCGTCCACCACGGCACCCTACTCGCACGGTTCGTGGCCCCATAGGGAGCTCCGCCGAAGGCCCTAGCGGCCGCAGTCCGCATGCGTCTCCCTCTCCCGGTACAACGCTTCGTGGCCCAGAAGGGAGCTACACCGAAGGCCCCAGCGGCCGCGGCCGCATGCGTCTCCCCCACCCCCAACAACGCTTCGTGGCCCCCTACAGGCAGCCAGGCAAAGTTGTTGCGGTTTGCTTCAACGGGAAGCGCTACTGAATCAACGCATGACCGGGGTCTGACCCTCCAGACGGTGCACAGGCGCGAGCGCGCCCAGACACGGCCAGGAGCTCCCACGGGCAGGGTGGGGGAGGAGCCGCCTGAGGAAAGTTTTGGAAAGAGCCGTCGGAGGAAAGTTTTATAAGACGCGCCCGAATAGAGTTCTAGAAGGCGCCTCCCCCCCCTGTCGCACCAACCCCGTTCCCCTGCGCAAGTCGTTCTCGGAGTTCTTCGCTGCCTTTGAGTAATACTACATAATGGCACAGTGGTCCGACAGGATCCGTGCCAAACACGCTGTTTCCCCACCGTTCGGATCCCTCCCCAACCCATCGAATTCGCACAGGATCCGCCCAACAATCCTCGGATTCGCATAGGACCCGTAGCGGATCCGTACCCGGATCCGACGTTTGAAGAGAGCTGCATCGGCCGCACGCAGCTCCCCCACCCAGTACATCGTTTCGCGGCCCCATATAAGGGGTTTCACCGAAGGCCCCAGCGGCCGCGGCAGCATGCTGTCCCCCCGCCCAGTCCATGGCCCCCACCGCGACACGCCAAGCGAAAGTTCCCGACCGCACCCAGGGGCTATGATCGCCCATAGGCGTTTTAGAAAATGCATTGTCTTCGAGGATCGAAGGAGTTGCCATCTCTTCCCTCTGCGCAAGGCGGCGGGCTGGGCTCAGGGTTTCCAGAACCTGTGCCCACGGGCTTCTCGTCCTGCGGAGCGGAGCGACACGCTCTCCGCTCGCAGGGCATAGTGTGTCGCTGGGGCCGCCCCCGCGACACGCTAAGCCCCCTGGGATGATTCATCCCGTTTGCCTCCTCCGGCGGGCTGCCGCCGCCTGGCCGAGAGTTTCCAGGGCACCCTCCACCAGGAGCCACACGCAGTGTGTGCGCGTGTTGGGGGGAGGGGGGGGGGGGGCAGGGCGTGGCGGCTAGCCTGGGGGGGGGGAATTAAGCGTGCAGGCAAGACGCTGAAATGAGGGCCACCTCGGGCTCAGAGGTTCCTCGGATCGGGTGGATGATTCTTCGCCGAGGCTCGCCGTGGCCTGGAAGGCCCCGTCGCCGTTGCCGTCGCCGTTGTCGTCGCCGCCGTCGTCGTCGTCGTCTTCGTCGTCGTCGTCGCCGCCGTCGCCGCCGTCGCCGCCGTTGTCGTCGTCGTCGTCGTCGTCGTCGTCGTCGTCGTCGTCGTCGTCGCCGTCGTCGTCGTCGTCGTCTCGTCATCTTGTCGACTACATGGACGATCGCTGCCCCTCGGCGCGGCGCCCCTGGGCTCTCCGCCCCTGTTGCGGCCGCCGGGTGTGCCAGCGCGCCTCCCGCGCTGGGCAGCATCGCCCATGCGCCCCGGCCCGCCCAGCGCCCAGCTGCTGAGCTCGAACCTGGGCGCTCGGGGGCAGGCAAAACGGAGGAGGGAGGAGAGAGGAGGAGGGAGAGAGGAGGGAGGAGGGAGGAGGGAGGAGGAGGAGGAGGAGGAGGAGGAGGGAGGAGGGAGGAGGGAGGAGGGGGAGGATGCAGGAGGATACAGGAGGATGCAGAAAGAGGGAGGAGGAGGAGGAGGAGAGGAGGAGGAGGAGGAGGAAGAGGAGGAGGGAGGAGGAGGGGAGGAAGGAAGAGGAGGAGGAGGAGGAGGAGAAGGGGGAGGTGGCGGACGAGGAGGAGGAGGAGGAGGAGGAGAAGGAGGAGGAGGAGGCACGAACAGACCGAATACGAGTGCGCAGAGCAGCAGCAAAGACAGGCAAAGGGCAGGAAAATAGACGAGCACGCGCAACACGACGGTGAGAAAGATAATCCGGAGGGAGCGATATAAGACGAAGCCAAAAGCATGCATCGTCAGAAGAGAGAAGTGGGCAGGGGTCCCCCCCGCCACTCCCCCGTGACGGGGTCCTTGCCCACCTTGAGGGACCTAAGGTAGGTGGTATCCTTACTGTATGGAATGCCCTCACAGTGGCCCCAGAGCCTCGACCGAGAGGCCGACGGCTGGGCCCGAGCGCCGCAGCGCAGGCAGAATGCAAGGGTGGCCCTAGCATGGCAGACCTGATGCCCTCGTGAGCTACTAGGCCCGACAGGGCCTTGAGCGGGGACGGGGACGTCAGGGAGGAGAGCATCACGCGAGGCCCAGGACAACCCCCGCCGTGGACCCCCAGAGGCCCGAGCCCTCTTGCTGGGCGGAGGCCCACCAGGGCCGTCAGGGTGGGGGCCACCAGGGCCGTCGGCGGGAGGCGGGGCCAGGGGCCGAGGGGCCTTCGGGCGCGGCCCGCCCGAGGACCAGTCCTCGATGACGTCCCCCCCCGACCTGGTGCGCGCACGGGGGGCAGGGGAGAGGGGGGGGGGGCACGGGCTCCTCGGAGCCTCGGGGGCGGGCGGCCTTGGCCAGCCGTCCAGCCACCTCCTCAAGGTCCTCGTCCCAGCGCTCCTCCTCAGCCCTGAACCTCACCCGGTTAAAAGCCAGGGACCGCTCAAGGCCCTCGGTAACTTGAGGCGGCGGCTCCCCGTCGTCGGCGGCGGCCCCATCAGGGCCGGCCGCCGCACTGGCCTCGGAGGGGCCCTAGGCTCCTGCAGACAGCTCCAGAGCGCCCAATCCCACGGAGCCTGACGCCACGCGGGAAGCCTCAAGCGAAACGCCCTCGAGGCCCCAGAGGGCCGCCGCATCGGCAACCCGACAAACACCCCGCTTGAGTCTCTAGGCGCCTTCGGCGGAGACCGCGAAAGCGGAGCAACGATCGCAGGACCATTTTTGGCCCCTGCGACGCACCAGGTGCGCGCCTTGGGGTGCAGGCTCGAGCGGCCCCTGGCAGCTCAGCCCGCAGCTGCTCCCAGCGTCGGCGCAGGGGAGCAGCGCGGCGCCTGGGCACATGGTCGCGGTCGGGCGGCACGGTGCCGTCGAAGACCATGCGGGAGGACGTGCCGACCCACGCGGCGACTTGGCGCACGTGCTGCAGGGCGTCGGCGTGCGCCTCCACGACGGCTAGAGGGAGGTCGTGGATCCTGCGCCCCCTCTTGGCCGCCATGTCGGCCAGGTCGTTGCACCTCCTCTCCCAGGTGTCATCCTTGGAGTGGCCATCGACGTACGTCACGCGGATAGGCACGTCCGCATAGGGTCACCCCGCCATGATCGTCCACATAGTGGTAGATCCGTTGCCAGAGGTCCACATTCTCGCGCCTCGGGGAGCAGCACCATCGCCGTCCACGCTGGAGACCCTCCAGTAGTGGCATGTAGCCGGTGAAGATCCGCAGCGGGGACACTCCCACCGTCAAGACCTGCAGCACCGCGTACAGCTGAGCACGCCCAGAGGTTTGGCCAAGCCCAGGGAGAGGCCCGAAGGCTGCGCGCGAGCACGTGCCGTCCCCCACGACCATGGAACCCCAGCCAGCACGGTCGGCGACGTCCCAGCGCAGGAGCTTTTTGCAGGAGCCGTCGGTGAAAATTGAGCCCGTCACGCTGAAGCAGTCCTCGGCCCTGGCACCACGATCATAACACCAAACACCATTGTCACTGCGAGGGGAAAAGGCTGGCGAGAAAGAGTTGGGATACCGCCCTCTCGACTACAGCAGATCACCCGGCACTGTGCGGCGCGCTGCTGCCAAAATGGCATCACCCAACGCGTGTTCTCGCACGCCAGTGAATGCAGGACAAGACCAGTACCTGTGATGCAACGTGCCACACACCCCAGGGCAGTACTTCCAATCCCCGCCCTCGGCATAATCATACTGCTGCAAACGCCGCTGCGAGAAATGACCACCCAGCACTGCGGTGCGCAACGCTGCCCTCGCCACTGGATCCAGCACCCAGCGCTTCGCCTTAGGACCAGGGTGTAGCAAGCCACGGATCGGCGCCAGCCAGGCGCCTGCAGGGTCCTTGTGCGAGGGGCCAGCGATCTCGGGCATGACGTCGGGCCTCATCGACCACTGCAGCCAGCCGTACGCCTCATAGTCCTTGAGAGCGGTCCACTTCACCAGCGCTGGAGACACCTCCCTCAGGTCCAGAGCTTCACCGTTCCGCGTGCAAACGTTGAAGGCCGAGGAACACGTCCAGCCCAGCACCAGCAACGGTCGAGCAAAGGCACCAGCAGGGCCACGAACATGCTTCCACCTGACATCGGAGTCCACCGAGGCGATCGCGAGAAACTGCGACCTCCACGCCAACTGCATCATGGCAAGGGCCACATCCTCAGTGTGCATCATGACCGCCCAGCTGTGTATGGGGCCCACGATGGCGATGGTGGTACAGTGCCGTTTTTAATACATGCTCCGCGTGCGGATCATGCATTAACAAATGCAGGGATGTAGTATTAAGAACAACGATGAGTTCATGAATAAATGCATGCATAGATGAATCATGTAGTAACAATCCTATGTTGTTGTTGTTTTTTTTATCCGATGTATTAACAACTGCCTTGTAGGCTGATGGCCGGGCGCAGGGTCCAATCGCGAGGCCACCATATGCGAGCTCCCCGATGGGATGGCTTGCCACCCCTGCTTCACAAACGAGGTCATGCTCTTGACGGCGTGCGGGGGGCCCCGACAATGCCCAAGCCGCAGGTGGTGGCAGGGCCAACTGCAGCACGCGCGACCTTCCTGAACCTGGCCCCCAGCGCGCTCTGTCTCTGGAAGTGCCTGGAGCTTATGGCCACCTTGCGCACCCGACGGCGTAAGACCAGGCCCGTGGACTTCTTCCCAGCACCGACCTCCAGGCCCAGGACCTCGAGCCAGGCTGGCGGCCTGAAGCCGAAACGCCGCAGCTTGGAGGCGACCACCGAGGCGACCTTGGCGTCGGACGCCGCGAGCGGAGCAGGAGCAGGAGTAGAAGTCAAGCTAGCCAGCTCGAGCGAGTTAAGCATGGCATGCCCACTCCCACCCGCCCGCCCACAACATGAGAAACAGTGCTGGCGCAACTGGGGACCGACATCAGATCGGCAAGGTAATTTGCCACAGCTGATGCAGCCGCGATGGCGGCTACCGATGGGAAGCTCCTGGCGCGTCTCAAAGACTGCGCTGGCATTTCAGCACGAGCCGAGGAACTTCAGAAGGCCCCAGGAGGCCTCGAGAGGCCCCAGGAGGTTGCAGGAAGCCCCAGCGAACCCCAGGAAGCCCCAGGAGGCTTCAGGAGGGCCCAGGAAACCCCAGGATGTTCCAGGAGGCTCCAGGAAACCCTAGGAGGTGTCGGGAAGCCTTGAGGAATCTCAGGGATCCCCAGGATGCCTCAGGAACCACCAGGAGTATCCACGAGGCCCTGGGGAAGCCCCGGGAAGCCCCAGGCTGTTCCAGGAGACCCCGGGAGGCCCCAGAGGGGCCTAGGCGCTCGGCGAATTGGCGAGCGAAAAATGCGCGCCGCGCCTCAGCTGGAACGCAACTTTCAGAAAACATGCGCGCGGCGCCGAAGCGGGAGCGACATTTCGCCTTGTCGCGCGCGATGCGCACCGCGCCCCACTCGTGCCACGCGTGTCGCAAAGACGGCGACAAGAAAGTCCTCGCTGAGGGGAAGCATGCCGACTTTGCATTGGTTTTTGAACGACAAGATGTCCCCTCCCGCTTGGGGGTGCCCCAAAAGTCCGCGCGTGAGGTGCGCCACGTCCCATTCCCGACACGCATTTCGCATCGTCGACGACAAGACAGGCCATGGTGAGAGGAACAACGGAGACTTTGTGTAGACTTTTTACAATCAGGATGGGACCACCCGGATGGGGTTGCTATCGGCCGGGCAGAAGGGGGGATAAACATAATGGTATGGTAAGGAATAGGGATAGGACTAGGAGTACGAAGGGAGGAGGGGGAGGAGGAGGAGGAGGAGGAGGAGGAGGAGGAGGAGGAGGAGGACAAAAACGAGGACGAGGACGAGGACGAGGACGAGGACGAGGACGAGGAGGACGAGGACGGGAAGGACGAGGAGAAAGAGGAAGAGGAAGAGGAGGGGGAGGGAGCCAGGATGAGAGCAAGGACGGAAGCGGGAGGAGGGCGGGAAGAGCACGGCGTGACGACGAGGAGGCCGCATCTCGCTGCCCCTGCGCCCTTGGCCGCCCCCAGGCTCAGGCTGCGTCGCCGTCCTCTTCAGCGCCGCACTGATCGCGTCGGCGCTCGCCGTCGTCGGCGGCCTCCTCTCCGCATCAGGGGGTGTCGGCGCCGACGCGTGCAACGCCTCCTTGTCGGCCATGGCAAAGCAGGACCTGCGGCCGGGGGGGGGGGGACGCGACGCAGTCTGGCACGGTGCGCTCTCCACCTCGTGCCGCCTCTGGTGACCCTCCTGCTCCTCGCTTTCGCTGCACCTCCCCTGCATCCTTCCTCCTATTCCCCCCTCCCGTCTTCCCGCTCTTCACCTCGCTCGTTCCCTCTCCTCTCTGCCCGAGATCCATTACCACTCCTCAGGAGTCGACACTCGTCATCCCCCCTCCTTCTCTGCCCTCCCCCACCTTAGCTCGGCCCCTCGCTCCCCGAACCCTTCCCCTCCCTCCGCAAGACTGGATCCCCTCAATCGTCTCTCATCTTCCCTCTCCCCCCACCACCCCCTCGCTCGTTTCCTCTTCCCCTCCCAATCTCATCCTCCAGAGTCGATCCACTCTTCCTCTCATATTCCCAACCATCCAGTGGTCTTGGCTCCTCGTTTTGAAGAGACAGCGCCCCGCGTCACTCGTCCTCCTCTCCTCCTCGTCCTCCTCCTCCTCCTCCTCCTCCTCCTGGTCCTCCTCCTCCTCCTCCTCCTCCTCCTCCTCCTCCTCCTCCTCCTCCTCCTCCTCCTCCTCCTCCTCCTCCTCCTCCTCCTCCTCCTCCCTCCTCCTCCTGTCCTCCCTCCTCCTCCTCCTCCTCCTCCTCCTCCTCCTCCTCCTCCTCCTCCTCCTCCTCCTCCCTCCTCCTCCTCCTCCTCCTCCTCCTCCTCCTCCTTCTCCTCCCCCCTCCTCATGTGCTCCTCCTCCTCCTGCCTCCTCCTCCTGCTCCTCCTCCTCCTCCTCCTTCTCCTCTTCCTCCTCCTCCTCTTCTCCTCCGCTCTCCTCCCTCCTCCTCCTCCTCTCCTCCTCCTCCTCCTCGTCCTCTTCCTGTTCCTTTTCCTCTTTCTCCTCTTCCTCGTCCTCCTCCTCCTCCTCCTCCTCCTCCTCCTCCTCCTCCGTAGCCATTTTGGCTCAAGGCTGATGCACCGAGGGGGCTCCGCGCCTCCGTGCCAAACTGGGATAGCTCTGTCTCCCGAGTCAGTCTGAAGTGTTTGTGTGAGCTCCTGTTGGAGCATACTTCGTGAGCTCCTGCAGGAGCGGATGGTCAAGTATGGCAAGCAGGGCTTCTCCACTTGCGTGCAGTGTGGCAACTGGGCGTGGAATTGGAGGCTCAAGAAGCAGAAAGGGGTGTGCGCAGTCTGCAACACCCCTCAGCCAGGATGGTGTACTACGACGAGCGGCACGTGGTGGGCGCCGTGGTCCTCGGGCGGTGGATGGCATGACCATGGGCAGGCTCAGCCGTCTCTCGCCAACTTCGGGGACTACCTGTCGAAGGCTCTCGCTGGTGCAGGTCTCGATGGGGACCCAGACGCGGCGCGCCTTGCGACGGAGTTCAGCACCCTGGCGTCCCAGAAGCTCGCGGCGGCCCCTGCGCCGCCGCCCAAGCCCCAGCATGCTCTGCTCAAGGAGGCTACGGCGGATTGCTCTCGCAAGCAGGAGGCTTTGGAGAAGGCCGCGAAGAAGCTGGAGCAGTCCCGCCTCCAGCTTGAGACGGACCAGGCCAAGTTCGACGAGGCGGCGGACGCTGTCTTGGCCGCCGATCTGCACCGTCTGGAGGTGCAGGAGGCGGCGAACCCGCCCGAGGCGGCCACCAAGCAGTCGGGCTTCGTCCTGGACCCTGGGCTGTTCGAGTGCCTCGATGAGCTGGAGGAGTCCGACAGGCAGGCGCTTGAGCATTTCCAGAAGCAGCTGGAGGAGGTCACCCAGCTGGTCGACGCCAAGCAGAAGGAGTTCCAGGACTTGCTGGAGCGCACGAGGTCGGCGCACACGGCGGCGGCGGCCAAGCGGCGCAAGCGCGGCGCCGATGGCGAGGCCGTTGCTGGCGGCGGCGCCGAAGGCACGCCCGCGGCGTGCTGCGCCGCTGCGGCGCCCGGCGCCGCTGCTGCCGCTGCTGGGCCCAGCAAGGCGAAGGTCGTGGTGCAGGAGAGCGACCAGAAGGCCATGCTGGAGCGCATCAAGAGCTGCGCCCAGGCGCAGGCGCGTGCGGCCGCTGATGGCAAGGCCGCTGGCGCTGGCAAAAGCGGCAATGCGGGCGCTGGCAAGGGCGTTGCGGCTGCTGGTGTTGGCGCAGGCCGTGTTTAGCACGGCTCGCTCCCCGTCCTGCAGGGGGGAAGCTGCAGGCGTACCTCATCCAGAGCCTGATGACGACACGTCCTTGGACATCTTTTTCGGCAACATCACGGAGTGGGGCCCGCAGGCTGCGCGTTTCTTAGCCCAGGAGCGGGAGCGCAGCATCGTGGCCCTAGTTGAGACACACAAAGGAGAGAAGGACATGCCAGACATCTGCCAGGCGATTGATAAAGACGGCTGGCGTCTGGCTTACACGGCCGCCCGCCCTTCGGGCAAGTCAGAGGCTGGCTTGTCTGGTGGCGAGTGGATTCTGGCGAAGAAACATGTGGCGACGTCGAGCTTTGAGAGTGCTCGGCGCACGGCGCTCGCTGCTGGGCGCCTGGACCCTTGCCGTGGCTTCGTGCCGACGGTGATCCACACCAGGGGCGGCAACTTGATCCTGCTCGCTGCCTACCTCCAGCCAGGCCTCGGCGTGAAGGGCTGGAACCATGACGTGCTGGTGGCGCTGGGGGCTTTCACGCGCGCGCTCGCGGACCCCTGGCTGGTGATGGCGGACTGGAACATCGAGCCCGCGGCCTTGCGAGGCACTGGTTGGCCCCAGAAGCTCGGCGCCGTCGTGGCGACGCCGTCCTGCCGAGCGACCTGCGACAAAGGGCCAGGGCGCATGTACGATTATGGTATTGCCAGTGTTGGTTGTTCAGAGTTGTCGCTTCGAGCTGAGTTGCGTGTGCCATGGGAGACGCACTGTGGAGTGGTTGTTACTGTGAAGGCTGCCCGTTCTCAGCGATGGTATAGGCACCTGACAGTGCCCAAGCCTCTTCCCGTTCGTGATAGACCCGTTGCAGTTGCTGATCCTGCGAGTAAGCGGTCTAAAAAGAGAGAAGAGCAGAGGCAGAGGCGCATGCAGGCGCTTCCCATCGAGTTCCAGGAGGGCTTCGACGAGCTGGAGCCGCCAGCGCCTCCGCCAGCGCCCACTGTGTCTTTCGCCATTCCTGAGGAGACTTGGTTTGAAGCTCAGACACAGGTGCATTGGGAGGGCCTCCCCCAGCTGTTTGAGGATCAGCCAGAGGGTGCCCGTGGCAAAATTGCAGCTTTTGACCGCAGTCAGCACTTTGTCTTTGAATGGCAACCTGAGGAGCGTGCTCGGCTGGACGAGTCCCACGGAGCTTGGATTTCTACATTGGAGCGTGCCACTTTGATTCACGAGCAGGTCGATGCCAGTACTTGGATGCAGTTCTCAGGTCGTGTTCGTGGCCCTGCTTGCTATTGGGCCAAGGTCACTTCCTCCCCTGGGCGCGCTCGCATGAAGAACGAGCAGGCCGAGTGGTGGGGTGTTGTCAGCGCTTTGCTTTTTCGGCATGCGGCTCTCCGTGTTAATGGGGTTGATCCTGATCAGGCTGCTTGCTGTGCACGTGAAGTACAGGCCAGGATTGGAGTCTTGCCTGCTGATAAGACGGTCGAGTACTTCGGCAAGATGTCCACCGCTGAGGAGGTTGAGTTGTGGAAAGCTATGGCTGCTGATTTGGACCGCGTCCCTGTTGGCAAGCTCACTTCCTTGGTGGACACCGCGCGCAAGTGGGCGGGCTTGTCGACTTCTCGGGCTTTGTTAGCTTCGCGCTCGTCCTTTGTCAAGTGGGTGAAGGAGTCCTGGTCATCTAAGCCTGGTGCTGTACATCGGCATGTGAAGCAGGCTCCGCCCTTGGAGTGGGAGGGCCGCGACGCGGCAGGTGCTATCACCACGGACAAGCAGACGATGCTCCAGACGTCTGCCTCTGAATGGAATGCGATGTGGCGAGATCCTGTTGATCAGCCTGCAGATATTTTGTATATGATGGGCCAGTGTCTGTCGGCTGCTCGAGATGACCCACTTCCTGCTATCACCATCGTGGACGTGGGCGCCGTGCTGCCCACGCTGCCAGCGAAGAAGGCGAAGGGCGTGGACGTGCTGAACCCAATTGATATTCAGCGACAGCCATTGGTGGCAAGGCAGTGTCTTGTGGATATATTGAATAATGTCGAGCAGGCTGGCGCCTGGCCGTCGCCCCTCAGCTCGGTCCTGGGTGCTGCGATTCCCAGGGAAGCTGGGGGCAACAGAGTGTTGGGGCTAGTTCCGACGCCGCACAAAATATGGTCAAAGGCGCGTGCGAAACACTCAGGTGAATGGTCAGCTGCCCAATCTGCATGTTGGGATACTGCTATTGCTGGCTCTTCAGCGCTCAGAGCGGCACTGATCAGAGCTGTGATGGATGAAGGCGCCAACGCCTTGTCTTTTGAGCATGCGACGCTGTTCTTGGACCTCGCTAAGTTCTACGACTCGGTGTCTTTCGCGTTGCTGATGCAGGCTGGCTTGAACATCGGATTTCCAGCAATCATCCTCTTATTGGAAGTGGGTCTTTACTCTTCTCCCAGGCTTTTGAAGAAGGGCCCGATGATATCGGGCGCCTTGGTGGTTTCACGTTCGATCGTCGCTGGTTCTGGATATGGCGTTCCGCTCGTCAAAGTTATGCTTCATCAGTTGCTGGATGAGGTTCACCGCGCTTGTCCCCCGACTGGATTGTGGAGTTATATTGATGATATTGCCGGTCGGGCGGAGGGAAAAAAGCAGCAGGTGATTGATAATTTGGACGCTTCTGCTGACGCTATGGCCACTGGGCTCAAGAAGCTCAGGTTGAAGATTTCTGACAAAACGAAGCTTGTCGCCAGTTCTGATGAGATTGGTGTGGAGTTACAGCGACGACTGGTTCGCAAAGGTATCCCTGTGCAGTTTGTGCGCTCCACTGTCGACTTGGGCCCTGATGCAGCTGCAGGGCGACGGCGGACAGCGCCTCGGATGATGAAACGACGTGCACAGGCTCGACGGCGGCAGCGAAACGTTATGCGATTGAGGCAGCTTC